AAATTATGTTTTGAGAGCGAGGTTTAACAATAACCACCCGTTCTCGTCTTCGTCCCATGACGACTTATAGTCACTGCCAACTCGTCGAACGGCCTACACACGCTGATAGATGTTCGAGTTATTGGAAACCCACTCATAAACTATAGGCCCGGATATGGAGAGGAAGGCAAAAACTCCAGGGAGATCCTGAAGAGACAAGCGGAAAGGGGCATTCTGTGTAGTCGACTAAAGCGGACGTTTATTTTAAAATTAGAATTGTTACAACAATAGAAGATCCTTTAAATAAAATTGTACCACCACAGTTTGCGGACAGATTTGTCCGAATTCGTAAAAGTAACAAAGTTATAGACCGCGTACGGCGCGCGACATACAATAGCACCGTAATGGCAAGATTATTGTTCCTCACATCTTAATTAGAACAATACATTCGTTTCTTTTCGTCTGGCACGATTTATGACACGGTCGAGATGGAAAACTACTTTTCAATTGACCATGTTAGCTGATTGTTCGATATTTCGTGCGTTTCTCGTCAGGAGAAATTGGTCTTTTACAAACAGTCGTAGAGTTTACTTCTTTTGTTCTTAACAGCCGATGGCGTGTCATAAAACGAGAATTTCTTAAGTCAGCTCAACATCGCATTCTAACAGTGCAAAGAACCATTGGGTAAAAATCTGTTGGAAATTTCCAGATTTCAAACTTTCGGCACATTGCGCGTCCGAGCAAATATCGCCCCTCTTTTTGCAGGAAAAAGCGCGCTAAGGGCACACTGGAAAGGTGCTCGCGATATTTGTTAGACATTGCTGATTGGCAATTAGAATTTATCATTGCCAACCAATCAGCATGCCACAACCTTTAGCAGCGACCGACGAGCGTCGATTATTCGAAGTTTGCATACACGTTTCATGCGAAAATGGAGAGGAAAGGAGCAAAAGTAGGCGATGTCCACGCAGATGGATCTACAAAAAGAAAATTTCACGGAAATCAACACTCCAGTGAGACAGATACAAGTTGTCCGAGCACGTCTGCCGCGAAACTGCGAAACAAAGGAGATCTCGAAAACGTTATTATCTCGAATTCATTTAGTTATTGTACTTTGAATTTTTTTCTCTGTGTTTTCGACAATTACTTTTTTTTGTGATTTGCAAAAAGTATGAAAGAGAAATAGAGTTTCCACAAGCCAGTAAGAGTGACTTGGGATTTAAAATTGCAATCCAGTGCAAGTACGGAGTACGATTTATCAACCCGTGTCTGTTTATTGACAAGGCATTCGAAATAAATCAACGAATTGTGCTAGTGCTGGGACTCTTAGGACTTGACCGGAAAGGTATTAATTTATTTTATGGTCGGTCAAGTGCCAGCTATCAATACATTGTGCTTGCCTCCAAAATATCCAACTTCAGCTGTATACAATTGTGTGATATCAAGAGTCGCTGAAGAAGAAAAACCCAAGAATGAAGAAGCTGGAAATCCTCGACTACATTTGACCGTTTCAGGAGATGGAACATGGAAGAAAAGAGGGTTTACCTGCTTCTCTATTCGGTGTTTCAACTCTTATTGAAAAATGCTAAAAAAGTTGACGATGCTGTCGTCAAATCAAGTTTACGTCGAAGTTATAATTTATGGAATAAGAAGAAAGAGGGTGCAATCGACAAATATAACAAGTGGTACGAAGAACACAAAGAATACTGCACCATAAACTATAGCGGCAGTGATGGTAAAATGGTAATCGATGCTATTACGAAAATATTTATGAATTCAGTGGAAAAGCAAGGTGTAAATTATACCACGTACATTAGAGGTGGGGATAATAAAATTTTTGAAGGTACTTTAGAAGTTGAACCATATGATACAATTATCGTGCAGAAAAAAAGAGTGCGTTGGCTACATAGAAAAACGGATGGGCACAAGATTACGCAACACAGAAACAACGAATAAGGGCATAAGTGGTAAAGGCACAGGTAAAATAACGGCAAAAGTGATCGGTGCATTGACAAAATACTACGATTTTGTCGTTCGTAGGCATTGGAATTCGCTTACTGAAATGAAAAAGGCCATATGTGCCGCGTTTTATCACAAGAACTCCACGGATGAAAATCTGCAGCATACACACCGCCCTTCTGATATAATTAATTGGTGCAAGTGACGTAAATCGGTAGACGACGATAAACTCAGCGAGTTTACGCATAATTAACTAGCTCTTAGTGATAAAGTTCTGGAAGTAATTAAACTGATCTACGAAGATTTATCTGCAGACTAATGTAGTATCGGCGCCTCCATACGCAAAAATAGGAAACCGGCACGGGACAATAGGGAGGGAGTGGTTGGCGTAGCGCGCAAAGCCTCGGCTTGCTAAGCCCGAACGTCCCGGGTTTCGATTCCCGTTGGGTCTCTCGATATTTTTCCGTCGTCGGTTCCTACATATGGGAGCTCGTCCGGGATGGAAGAGGCATCTAGGGCTGCACGAAGCCCAGGCGCTGTGAGATGAAAACATGTAATGAAAGAGGGTTTTGCACATCCCCCAAAAAGAGTTTGAGAAACAGAGTTTCGGCTGAGAGTTGCCACTGTGTGGGGCAGTATACCCCAAAGTGTTGAGTTGAGTTGCGCGCCTCCATACGCAAAAATAGGAAACCGGCACGGGACAATAGGGAGGGAGTGGTTGGCGTAGCGCGCAAAGCCTCGGCTTGCTAAGCCCGAACGTCCCGGGTTTCGATTCCCGGTTTGGGTCCCTCGATATTTTTCCGTCGTCGGTTCCCCTACACTAATTGTTAGGGAGATGTTTTAAAAGCGGGAAACACAAAGCAATAACGAATCGTTAAATTCGTTGATTTGAATTTTCGCTCCCATACATTCAGGAACAGCAGCAAGCCTGGTCCTGAACTGATAGATTAGTACAAAGTACAACCATTTCCATTTAACTGGTATGAAAAATTTTAAACACGCTTTTTTTTTTAATTCATATTTTCTGAAGTGGCTGACATGATATTTCAAGTTCTAGTTGACTGATTGACACCAAATGTTGCATGCATGTACAGTAGATGTGTCGTTATTGTAGGAACCAGGAAACTTCACCTAATTTTACAATCCACAAAACAGGAAAATAGATGGAAAACAACATTCAAACTTCAAAGTGCTCTCAGTTTTTTAAATTTTCAATATTTACTTTAACTGTTAGTTCATACCATAGCCACATTCACTCTAATCAAGAATCGTTTTGGCTTTTTCATTTCGGATAACTAGAATGGCCGAAATCATGTTAGTCAGTAGGACAGTTTTTTTTAACGGGATCGTACTAAATAATTTATAATTCGGTCAATTTTTATTGTTTTCACTTAAAAAAATATGGTGAATAATCAAAAAACATGAATAAATATGTGTGCAAAAAATCAATACCAAAATATCTTATGGTTTCTTTGTAAAAACATTACAAAAATAGACCTAAAAACTGACGCTCTAGACTAGGATACCCCCTTAAAAAGATACATATTCAGGTTTAGACGGTTAATTTTTCAGCCAATTTCATGATTTCTTTTCTAGGCGACAAGAAAAATTAGAATATTGGTGCTTCGTTTATACCTTTATTCATCTTTTGGCTGTTAAAATCCGTTATTATAACTAATATTCAGACACTCTGTAGAACAGTACTTCTTTTTAAATTGGACCTAAGGACTTGAGCTTTCTTGAGTAGTTAGAAGGATTAGTATACTAGATGACGTGTGCAAAAAATTTTGAAAAATTGCAATTTGTGGAAATCGCGTAAAAAATTGTAAAGGTTTTTATCTGATCTCGTAATCAAAATTTAAAAAATACGTTTTGTAGATTTATGTCAATTATACACATGCTGAAAATTTCATCTAGTATACTGACTTTTCTAATTTCTCAAAAGATACTGCTTGAAATAGTTAATAGGATCCAGTAACTAGGATTTCTAAATCTGTTTCTGTCATTTCCGAAAAAGCAAGTAAATTCGCAGTTGTTACTTGCTGAAATGAAGTCTTTCGTCTACTCCAACGTTGCGTCTCAACTTCCAGTCCTAAAGTACTCGGTAGATTCTTCTGTTAGGAAATTCTGGAAACTATTTGGTCACGAAACTCTATATTCAAATAGAAAGGCTCTAACACTACCCGGGTTAAAATGACCCATTAGTCACTTTTCAAAAATGAATTTCTATGTATTTAAAACGAGATTAAAAAATTTGATTCATATCGAAGTATGTACGCAAAAGACAGTCAGAAACGATAATACTTGCCAGTACCGAACATTTACTCTTTTTAAAAAGTTGCTAATGGATCATTCTTCGTTGTAGCGTCAAATGAACTAAAACACAACATGTAATATTTTTTAGACAAAGGGAATATAAGAATCTACAAAGAAACGTTGTAATAAAGTATGCTTCGTGATAGCACTACCTGTTAGTAGCGACGGTTATCACCTATGTACGTATTTAGTTAACAATTTGTTATTAGTAACAATTTATGTTAGCGTATAATACTCTTATAATGAACGAAATATATCGATTATGTAAATAGGCCACTCCTCTGCACACAAAAAGCTAAAAAATATCAGTTTTTAATTGGTTTTACTATGGAATACCTTTCCGAAAAATCTTAAAAAATTACACATGAAAAAGTTTGCAAAATTTCCCAGACATATATCCTACTGGCTATACCAAATCTCACTGTTTTCGTAATTTTTCGTGTTATAGAACAAAAGAAATTGAGCTCAAACTGTAAATCACTTTTCAGTCTATAACTACCTCAATAGCGGGAGTAGAGGGCTGAAAATTGGTAGAAAGGGTTTTCTTTCAGAGGCCAATCGATTGACATATCACAAGTTCAATTTGATTTAGGAGCACTCTTACCATGTTTATTCGACTATACCCTTTAATGAACATCTCCCTAATCATTGAAATTCGGGGATGCGTTTACGTGATATTTTTTGCTCAGAATCTTCCCACAATTGAATTAGTAAATGTTCGTTCATTCGTGCATAGTACGTAGTGATCATCTTCGTTCTGGATAGAAGCCAATATCGGTACCTTCTAACGTCATGATGTAGCTAGCAGCAATGCTTACGTAACGTCGAAACACTTTCCCATAAGGAAACGGTCTATCCCCATAAGACTGCATATGATTTTAGTACATAATGAACTGTAATTACGATACGCTGCTATAGAGTAGATAGTTTTTTTCTTTAAAGTTGGGAATAAAAGTGGGAGTTACTTAATGGGGAATATACTTTAAATATATTGGTGTGATGTAAGAGTGAGAATAACATGTTTCAACTACTACGTGTACTACTACTGCGAAATGTGACGTTCCCGAGATTCTCAGATGAAATTCATTAAGAAAGGAAAATACATAATAGCGTATTATTGGTGGTTCGCGTGTAATTTACATACCGCGAATGCAAGTGAGCGTGCCGTAGCAAGTGTACTCTCGCTTCAGAGTATACTTTCATTCGTATTTCAAGTACAAGATGACTAGATGACTTATCGTTCTACAGTAGGTAACACTAGAAAATTGCGGTTTGCTTTAACGAACTAGGTAAACTAGAATCTCGAGTATCGATATACGCTTTTCTTTCACAGACTGTGGTTTTCCACTGGCGTTAGTTAAGAAGGCTATATCAATTTATACGTACATATATCAGTAAAGTTACTAGAAACTCTATAACTTGTAATTTCTATTTGTAATTGTTTATTAGTATGCCTGACTGACTGTTTGTAATTATTAATATTGGCTCAATTATTTATCAGTTATGTAACAAAATAAAAATACTTTTTAAAAATAATTAAAAATATGATATTGAAAAAAGTACCTCATGAGAGTTAAAAAATGCTATGTTATCGACAATGTAGTCATCAAATGGTTGATAGACAGAATCCCAATCGTAGTGAATGTTCCAAGTTGGTACATACGTTTCTTCCAACAGATCTGTATTACCAGGAAGTACTAAAGGTGTTACTATAGGTTTGTAAATTCCAGGTTTCGATGGAGGCACTATAGGTACAAATTGCCTGAAACTAGCATAGGCTTGTGACTTTACAAAGTCTCTTTGCTTATTGCTAAAGTAATTCTTTTGATGCTTATATGGTGCACGAATAACATAAGTTGTGTCAATTGCTTTTGCATGGTTGTAATGAAATCTGCCTTCCGGTGGAACATATCGTCCATCTGATGTTATGTACACCTTTAAAAATAAAACAGTACTTTTTATTCAATCCTTGCTATTGTTAACATGTTAATTGGAGAAAACAAATCAACTCGACATTGAAATGAATCATATGTATGTATTTGAAACACAATAATTCATTTAGTCAGTGATCTCTTATTTTCAACTACAATGTCATATTTGTATTAAACACAAAGTATTACATTACAAAGCAAAAAGATTAAATACAGAATGTCATACCAATTCTGTCGACCTCAAATATCCCCATTATTTCAAGTAATAAATGAAAACATCACTTAAAAATATTTTTTGATGTTCAATTTGTTGTAGCCATTGAGGATTTTCTATTGAACAATAGTGCATATTATGTAAATTAACACTTGCAGTATGCATAAAAATAGCCTCATCAGTGAATAATATGAAAGAGAAGAAGTTTGCATCAATTTGTAGCTAGTTTTCAGCACAAAATTTAACAGGATTCCCAAAATCCATGCTATGTAACTTCTGGTGAAGGCTTAGTATCACACACATCAAATTTGCAGCAAGTGAGAATTAATGAAACTTAAGAAACTTATTAATTCTAAGAGATGTCAAAAGTTTAACAATGCCATTTTTGAATATTTTCTATCTACTGTTTGTTTACATCCTAAGTATTTCAAACATGTTTCATAATGAAAGTAATAGGATGTGTTTTAGTACTTTTATAATTAAAATTCGCTACTCTAACGAATTTGACCATAAAAAATGGGACATTCCATTAAAAAAAAAAATTGATTTTGAAATTTCCTCTACACCTCCACTGCAAACAAACTAGTACCACACTGTCACCATGTTACACCTTTCTTGCAACCATATCTTTTATAAATTATGTTTTCACTTATTTCTTGAAATAATAGAGATATTTGAGGTGAACAGAATTGATGTAACACTCTGTATACCCTAAAATATAGACGAGAGATTCGAGAGATCTGACCTCAATTAACAGGTTAATTATTAGTGTCAGTACATATGTATCTTTAGTGTAAAGGTATATTTCCATTCTACAATTCACGAAATATTTAAAATACTGTTTGATCTTAAATTATTTTCAAACAACCTTCAAATTTTTTATTTATGCATACCTTTATTACTTCTGGCATAGTTTGAACATGTTGAGTATGTTTATGTACACTTCGGCCATCTAAAACTACACCATCGGGTACTGTAATACCTTCCTTGTTTAACCGATTCAGTGCTAACCGATCAGTTCTGAAAGCTTCTTCTGGAATTTTACCCCCTAATGCTGGTAATACTTGTTCCCTGAATATTTGTCGCTTTTGCTATAAATAAAAGTTATAAATAAAATTTACACAAGTCGTTCTAAAAGGATTTTAACTTTAAAATAATTTTTTTTCTTTTCTTTTAATGCATCGAACAATATTAATAAATTGTATGTTTGAAAAGTTCCGTGGACTAACAAAATGAAAAGTAAAAAAATAAAGAGATAAACACTTTAATTAACGGAATGTTTCAATATAATCTCCATTCATCATCATACACTGAGCCCGTTCAGAAAGTCATTGGAAGCGATTTTTATAATCAATTTGTAAAATTGCATCGAGCTCTCTCTCGTCACAACCGCCTAACTTTATTTTATCTGTCTGTTACGATACAATAGATTTATTTCTCCTCGAGACCAACTTCTATGAGGAAGAATATAGAAAAATCAGTTGGGAACAGTTTGTATGAGCACGGAAGATGAAAAAGCACTGACATTTGTTTTTTGTCCAAGAATTGCGTGACGATCCCAACCGCATGACTGGCGTTCACACGCCGAATGTAATGCACAAGCCAAATAAGATCATTTAAGTAACAGCTGCTTATGTGCTGTTACAGTAATACCTTCTAGAACAAGTTTCTTGTAATTCTTATAAGTTTCGTGAAAAAAATTCTTTTAAAAGTCCTCATCTTTTATTCTGTTTCTTTTACTTTAATCCATGGTGTTTTATCTTGTGCGCCAATTCATTCGAAACTTCATCGTTTTGTTGATGGCTTATAAATACTTAAAAATAGTATTATTCGTCTCCAGCAGTCGTTTTTCTCTACACACTTTCATCTTTGTTTACTATATCGATCAACGTTCAGTTTACATTAACACGCTTTAAACAAAATCGATCAATTTTTATCTTTTTATGTTGAAATTGGCACATGGGGAATGAACTTGTTCATACTTTTCGTCGATCTAGTCTCTCACATGAAATGAAGTACTTTATACCTTAACCCTAGAACTCTTGAGCCTCGAGCCGTCATGCGAAATACTAGGGGAGGGTTCCTCGAACCCATAATTCTTCTTACACATTTATCCTGAAAAAAATTCTTTTTTGAATATTTTTTTATAACATTTGAATATGTTATACATTATAGTATATGTTTTTGCATTGAATTTATTTTTAGTTATATAAATAAGAATAGCAAAGTACCATGTCTATCAAATGCTTGATTGTAACAGATTGAATGCTGCACCGTTTATTAGCTTAATTCTTCGTTTTGCGATAGTTATTCTTTGGAGATGAGAAGAGCGACCTGCTTCGCACGATATCCAGTACCGTGTAATTAATTTTCATTTCTTATGCATAATGTTTTTCACATACAGCAATGATTACTTTCGAATGTCAAACTTAAATGTGTATACGGCAATAAATAATTTTGTGAGAATTTTTTTGCACAGGGGAAATGGTTCTATTTAAAAAATTTTTCGTCTTGTGGGTTCGAGGAACCTCCCATTAGGAGTTCTAGAGTTAATCAATAATCGGATCTTTGGCTGTTCAAATCGTTTTCTGTTGCTCGAAATGAATTGTTTCGGTAATAGTGTGATTTATGTTTGAGGTAGAACTGTCTCCAACAATTTTCCATTTTCACAGAATTTCTTGAACCATGCAAAGGTTGACCGTTGTCTGCACTCACTTTTATACATAGACTCCAACTACTTTTTATATACACACTTTACATTAACTCGCGTGCTTTTGATAATGTCTTGGTTAAAAATAACGTGCAGGTTAAAAATAAGTTAGCAAAAATCATGTGAATAGGGGAATTACACTTGTATTTAATTCAGAATTATAATTCTATTATTGTCCAATGCATGACAGATTTAATACGTTGTGAAAAAAATCAGTCCGGGAACTTTTTAAACAAACGGTGTGTGATTAGTAGAATATTTGTTACTAATTGTAACACATAATTATTACAATTAGTCTTATGTTTCACCTTTTCTGCAACGACGTGCGCAATGAAGAATGTGGTGATCAATATTAAGCGTAACCAATTTTTCTTCCCAGATGTCTTCATTCTAACGAAAATTTGGTTCACCTTCTATATCAACGTAGTTAAAAACATCGTTACCGTGTATTCAACTGTCTAAAATACTTGCAAAATATATTCATTATAAAGTTTAGCTTATTACTTAATTATAGTTGAATATAAAATAATCAGAAACATTAATATTTGCTCATTTGACAAGAAAGTAGTATTATTTTATGAACGTACTACAATATGAAAGAGTAATCGAAATACAAGGTGGACTTTTGAAGTAGAGTAGTATTATACAGGGTGTATCTAGTAGCTGGAACGAGTTATAACTCGGTTGTTATTGAAAACAGGAACAAATTGTAGAGGAACAACTGAACAATGTGATGAATGTGTAAAAAAACGTGTAAGAAAATGTTTAGAATGCAACGGTGGAACATTTTAACATTTATTTTGAATAGCACCAGGAATCGATTCGTGCAAAAAAATTATAAAGTAGCATTCAAAAAATGAGTGGTACAATTCAAAAGTGCACTTTGCGACCGATGCACTTCCGTAAAAAGCCACATTACAGGATGATACTCCTGTACAATTGGTTTCTATTTTCAATAGCAATCAAGTTATACATAACTCGGCCAGTTACTAGATACACACTGTATACAGTATTGTCACGTAAGCTAGGCGCGTCTCGGGAGCACATCTGGCCAGCAATCAAGGAGGTAGAGTTCTAGGAAATCCCGGATATGTTTCGTCTCCATCGAGTGCGAGTGGGATAGAGGCACTTAATGCGAAATATCGAGGTCTTTGTTCAGTTTAAATACGTAACGCCGGAGACTCGCTCAACGAAGCCAGCGCCAAGAAGTGGTGGGGATAGCGACGGCCAGCTGGCAAAGCGAAATCCCGGTCAGCTAACGCGACAGTACTGCATGTTGCCGATAAAGTGCAAAGTTCAGGTAATGTAGACATTGTTCGGGTAATATGCCTTAGCAATGTAAACATTATCAACATAGCTTTAGGCAAATTATTAACGTATTATTTCGGGTTAGATTCCCTTTTCAGTTACTGAACATTGATTGAAATAATACTACAGAAAATACAAGGTTAGTTGAGGAAAATTGACCAAATATAACCAATGAAAATCTTAGTAATAAGACAAAAATAAGCTAATAATCCCGTAGGGAGTTTCAAAGCATTAATTAAAAAAGAAAAAAAAGACAAAAATAAAATGTTCTATTTTCAAAGTTCATTATTTGTTATAATATAGTAAACACAATAAACGATCGTGTTATCTTGATTGAAGTCACAACTCTGTTAATACTTTGCCCGCTTGAATGTTTTACATAAGGAATAC